ATTTAAAGAAAATACAAAAAAATCTAAAAAATATTATAAACTGTTCAATCTACAGAATAATATAACTGTATTTCATTGCAACACATTATTACAATGTATTATTATATCTGATTACGTTACATTTTCATAAATTTACAGAYAGTCCAAAGACTATTTTTCGAAAAAAGGTCGGTTTTATCAATTTGGGGACGGATATACTATTTTGAGAACAAACCTATTTAATTTACACATTTTATTTCAAACAATGGGAATTGGTAATTGTYTTTCTATTTTTGAAAATACATACAACACAAAAAATGCCTATTTCGATGGCTGTTTTTTTGACTATTATTTTTTTTCTTATCTATCCAAATTATCTTCTGTTGCGTTGGAGAAAAGTCCAGGGGGGCTATAAATCTGAGGAGTTTCCAAAATTTTGAGGGAATATTTTAAAAAAAACATTGTTTTATAGAGGAAAAATCTTTATTTTTGTTCAAAATTTTATGCACAATAAAYCAACAAATTGAGTTTTGTTTTTTATGACCCATCATTTATCCTAATGTCCCTGAAGGGGTTCATTAATGTTAATTCTATTATTGACAGTTTGAGGCGTTGATTACTAAAATGAAAAAGACAATAAAGGAAAAAAATCAGTTTTATGTTTATGTCTAAATTATGTAATTACTCGTAATTTTTTTTTCAGTTCAGGATTTGGCCTTACAGTATGGAGTAGGCAAAAGTACGTTTGAAAGCATTAACTTTTAWCTAAAATTCACTTTACAAATTCTAATTATTACTAATACTACTAACAATTAAWCACGATTTTTTTCTCTTCCCTCATTTTTCAAAATTTAGATTTACAAAAATTGTTCTAAAAATTTAACGTGATCCCCTTCAGTTATTTCTATAATTAAATAAATATAAATTTTTAAAATATATAGTTAATGAAAAATAAGACGTATTTTGACTAAATAGCAAGAAAAATAACAATTTTTTGAAAAACATTACAGTGTATTAAGTATTTGTAACTCCAGCTCTGGTTCTAGGTCCGGTGAATTCGGTTTTTCAAGTATAAATTGRTCTCCGGATTCATTGTCCACATTTGCTGTTGATTCTTCTTTGAAAAATCAAAAACTTCGGATTTATGATAAAAAGCTCTTACGCTTTATGCTTTTCATGCGCTTTCATATACTTTGCTCTCTTATTTGCTTTGCGGTTATGTGTGCTCTCTCTCTTTGTGTGTGTGTGTCTCTATTATACTTATTGGAACATGCATTTGTTTTAAAGATCGCGCTCTTATGCGCCCGCCATCTTTTATTGCTTATTTGAATTAGTATTTAAATTTGAATTAGAGAAAAACTGCTGACTTTAGCGAGGTTCGAACCCCGGACATGTAATTGAGCTCTAGTCTTAATATATTCATATAGAATTTCAAAAAAAAATGTTTGTTTTTCTATGACGTTTTATGGCACTTTTAGACCTCTTTCGATCAATTTTGAAGTTTTCGATTTTTAAATTTTTATAAAATTTTGGTGGGAACTCCGGAATTATTGAAGCTAGCCCTTTATTTTTGGCACCGTTGGAAAGCACATTTAATTTTCTATTATATAAAAAAAGTTCATTGTACTTCGATAAATAGTTATCGAGAAAATTACCGATAAATTCAAAAATATCTATCTATCTAATAATGTTTTAAAGTTTTAAACTTTTTCGAAGTAAAAGTTCATAGATAACTTATTAATGAATTATTTTTTTTCCAACACTACGGTACATTTAAGCTTACCTCTTATATTGCCGTTAATACGTACACAGGGTAAGTCTTAATTTTAGGGTATGATAGATTATGCTAAATAATAACTAACAGTGAAAAAAAATTCTAGTAAAAGTAAAATTTTA